CAACAACAACAACAACAACAACAACAACAACAACAACAACAACAACACAACGACAACGACAACAACAACAACGACAACAATGACAACAACAACAACAAACAACAAACAACAAACAACAACAACCAACAACCAACAACCAACAACCAACAACAACAACAACCAACAACCAACAACCAACAACCAACAACCAACAACAACAACAACAACAACAACAATCAACAACCAACAACCAACAACAACAACATAATAACCCTGTTGTTTCCTAGCCAAGGTGGCTAATCGTGGAAGTCACGAGCGACTTCGCGAATGAGGGAAGGCGCCCCCACGAGCATAGTGAGACATCCTCATTGCACTGTGTTTGGACTGTTGCAAGCAAGATATCCTTCCTTAAGGCCAAGGCCGTGTCTTTGTTAAGGCCTTCTGTTGGCTGTACTCGTCGATGTTGTCGCCGATTTCAATTTGGTAACTAAACTTGTTTGTGTCTACTCCTGGTACCAGTTGGAAGACGAATGGAATTGAACAATGAATGGAGGACTGGGAGATCACACTGCAGTCGTTGTTTAAAAAAAATAAACAGTTCGTAGCAGAGATGTTTCCCCATGTTCAGAGCGGATGTTGTTGGTCAAGGGCGGCAGAACGTCCTTGATGGTTAAAGAATGCCAAGGGCCTTTTGGCATCTTAAACCCTTATATTTGCTGATCATGCCAGGTCGTTTGGGAGTTCAATGTAGGCATATATTATAATATATTATATGATCATTATGCCAATGTATTGAATTTTTTCCCCAAAAAAGGGCATATGGCAACAGGGAAACCAATCCAGCCAGGCCCGTGCAAGCACCCGCGCCTCTCTCTCCATCAGCTGAGGCAGCCTTGGGGTGCCGAACCGAACGAAAGTCTGTCTGCGTGTGTGTCTCTCTTTCTCTCTCGTTCTCTCTATCGGGCTCTGTCTCTCGTTGAAGGAAATCACCCCCCCCTTCAAACCAACATCTCTGAAATATACCACATGCGAAAGCGCCGAGGGGATGGGGATCCACGAAAACGTCGTTCATGGATCCGCAGGCAGAAATAGAAGTCTAGAGTCTATCCTATTACTTGTACCAATGCAATGGATGATGAGAATTGTCTACTGACTGTTACAGGTAATAGGACAAACCCAATCTATAGTGTTTTTCATAGATGGCACAGGTAGGTACCCCAAGATGTCTTTTAGATGGGGGTCCATATTTGAATCACCGTTTGGGGATTGTGCAATGTCATTGTAAGTCAAGTCATTGAGACTGTATGTCTTCCAACTGTGGAGAAACTCTGTTTGTTAAATCCGTGGTGCGTAAAACAAGCCTGAAGGCAAACATTTTGCACATTTGGAAGATCTGTGTGTGTTTACTTGAGGGATTCCGTCATAACATACAGAACTTGGTTCACCAGCATCTTTTCTGGTACTCTTGTGGAACAAGTGCGTCGTTTTCCACCTGCAGTCTCAACATCTACACACAAAATTCCTGCTGAATTTGGTCGCTGTTGGCTGCATGAATTAAAAATAGGAAACAATCGGTCAAATAAAGAAAGTAATTAAGAACATTTGTCAACCAATGTCAACCAAATGTGGAGTCTCAAAGTACCTCAGAAAATGGGTACAAGTACAAGTATACCTGTCTATTTTTGTTCAACATGTCATGTCCCATGTTCTAGGGTACTTACTTGAAGCCGGGTCCAGGTGTGTCTTCCTTTGGCACCCCCACATGCGGCATCCTGCGACCGACTCCTCCTGCCGTTTCCATCCGTTTCCGTCTTGAGCCGCCCCACGTGCGTTCTCCGTGTCCGGCCTTCGGAAGGCCGACACGACACACGGACGGGAGACAAGGATGAAACCGTGAAGCGGAAGATGAAGGACGAAATACCCGTGAAACCCTCAAAGCCACTGGAAACCACGTGAAAGGACCAAGTAGGAAATGAACAATTTGGTTCCTTTGGATCCTGCGACACCTCCAGCTGCCTCCAGTGGCGAAAACCATGTTCGGACGAGGATTCGCCCACGAGGAATTGAAACTCCAGTTGTCACCCTCCTGTATACGTATATAAGTTATATAAGGGAATCCAACCAATATTATTGGTGAAATGATATACTTCTACGCACCAAACCGTGGACGACGATCACGCGTCCCTTGCCTTCTTCTTTTGTCACCCAACACTTTTGCGATGCCGCCGATTCGCTTCTTCGAAGAACCATTCGGCGGCTAGACGCTCTGAAGGCTTTGTCTGGTCAGAGCAAAGCTTTTTGTCCCATGGAGGGGAACAATGGATGGAAATTCATATCTCTATATTTGTTTGGGTATATATGTTTCTTCAAATCACCAATCATTGGTGTTCACAGATCTTGTCAGTGTTTTCACTACACAGTGCATGCATCATCAAAGCTTTGAAAGTAAACATACCGTCACTGTCGCCGAAAAAGAACGAAGTCTCGTAGCTTTGGAGGTTGAAAACTCCTGGTCGACAAAGCCTTGGGTTTCGTGGGGTTGACCTTTGCATCCCGCACCTGAAACCTGAGAATTGCACCACTTCTCGGTTTCACCCTGCCCTCATTGCCCCGAGGACTTTTGATTTCTCTCGGCCGGATTTGTCTTCTTTTTTTTCCGGTAACATCTACCACCCTAATTAGGGCTCCAAATACCTTCTGAGAAGGTGTTTGGGGTGGGTGCCAGGAGGGTCCAAATACCTTCTGAGGAGGTCCTTGGAGCCCTAGGGGATATGTATTGGATGATACCATCGGGGTCCACCGACCGAGCGCTGAAGCAGTTCACCACCGATGGCGCGCTGGGCCCCAGCGCTCGGCCCCGACTCTTAAAAACGCTAAAACACCCACTCTACGCCTTCTAGATGTCATATCATATTATGTTAAGACATTTACAATATACTACATCTTTAAAATACATACAGTAATTGCATATTGTCTGATGCATGTGTTGCATCTGTTTGTTGTTCTTACATGTTCTATTTTGATATTGCATAACCCCTCTGGGTGAAGGCATCTCAGATCTGACACACCTGTCAGCCTGTCAGACGGCAGACGTGCGTGAGATCGATCTGAGAATCGATTCTCATCGTCCAAAGTCGTAGCCTTCCCAACCTCGGCGAGAGAACAAAGGATGAGAAGGCAGTGAAGACCGAAAACAACCCAAGCAGCGTGACCATCAGAAAGGATAGAGCTTCCACGGCCATGTCGAAATAGGTTCTAGAGCTTCCTATGTCGAAATGCAGGGGGAGTCTTATGGTTCTTGGTTCCCAGAAGTTCCTTCATCTTCTGTGTTACTTCGTTTTCAATCTGTTGTCACGTCACCGAGATCATAAAAGACCTGGCTGGTGAGAACTGATGTCACAAGTCTTCACCAGGTCTTCAGAGCTTGACTATCCCATATAGTACCTCAGGTGACGGGTCCTATTTACAGGCACTTCACCTCTGTTGGCAGGTCTTCTCTGATGTCACAAGTTCTCACAAGAACGGTGACAACTCCAGCAGTTGTCTCCACGCTTTTCGGACGGACCACTCCCTAGGCTCATGCGAATTGTCTCGGCAATGGAGTTTTCATCCCTGGCACCCGAAGACCAAGCCAGCCCGTTTTGGAGGTTTCATGTCTGTAGTGGAGTAACCGAACTGAGCCAGACTAGTCATGCTGAACTACAAATGAACACGTCTAGAGTTGGCTTGTGATTCACTGGCTCCAGATGCTCGAACGTCATGCTTTTGGAGTACCTATGAGTCGACTAGCCTCGCTTCCAAAAACACACGCTGCAAACGACTCGACTCGACTCGACAGGGCCAGCGACTCAGACGGACTTTTTTTTCAATCATAGCATGGACACACTGGCAGACAGGACACACGGGCTAAGGGAGCATCAACGGAGCCTCCGTTGTTTTGGAGTACAAAGCTATAACTCAAAACAAAACAAAGATAAGATATGTTTGAGCCGGATCTCGTTTTTTCTGTATGTGCTGCGTCTCTCTAACAAAATCCGGATCTCCACTGGTGGTAGCCCAAATCGAAAAAGCAGTGGCGCGTCGTATCTCCTGCGGTTAGGTGGGTTGGTCCTCATGTTTGGAGGGTGCTCTTCATGGAATGCAATGGTTTGCATTCCATTCTTACTTCCTTCCTACTGAAAAAAACAAACAACGAAGATTTCCATGCAAGCACCCAGATGTCGCAAAAGAATTGGACAGTCCCACGGAGGACCAACCCGTTGTGGACACCAACTCTCTCGTCTTCGGGACGACTCCAAGTGACTCCTCCATCGGGGCACCCGCTTCCTGGAAGGGCAGTAACCAGAACACGTGAAGAGCGAGAACATCCCAACAGAAACCAATGAAAGCCCGCTTGAAAGCCATATTATGAGTCAGTCACGTCACCCCGGGTCCAATCATCCGAAACCAGTATACGGGTTGAACATAAACACCTGGACCCGACTTCAAGTACCGAACATTTTTTCATGACCCCATAAAAATAGGTACGACCGTAGCCATTTTCCGAGGGACTTTGAGACTCCAGGTACATCTTCAACGGAACTCATTTCACTCTAAACAAAAATCATCTACCAGCACCTTCATGTCGGGGTCACCAATGGAAGCCCCAACCCACCACTAAGGGACCTCCAGACAGGACACCGGTCCAGGTATAATATTCTTATTCAACCAAAATAAGAAAAGCACTCCTACATCTGCCGCTTGAAAAAGAACTTGAACAACAACTTCCTCACTCAGGGACGACCCACCGGACTGCTGCTTGCAAACGAGGAGTCTCAGGCGTTCCGCGAAAGCGCTCCGCGTAGCCTGGCGGCAGCTCCGGCACGCTGCCGCGGCGAGTGAGCTCGTCGTCGAGGGCCAGCAGCAACGCGCAGGAGAGGCCGGGGATGGCTTCGAGATGAGCATAATGTCCAGCCTGCTTTGACTGGATCGGACGAATGAGGAGACCTGGAAGGAAGTCAAACGCCCCATGGAGTGAATGTCTTCCGGACGCCCAATGCAATCCATGTATTAAAAACCATGCTAGAAACCCCAAGGGTTGGGGAAAGATGCAAGTCCCATGGAGTGTCTGGGTAGTCGACCAGGTCCAGCAACTGAAGGATTTTTTTACTATCACTCACATAAAGAACCTGGTTACCTGGAGGGGGGCAATGACTTTGCTGCATGCATGAGGGTCTCTGGTACCCTCTCGGGATCAAAGGGTGACATGGTGCAGGGTGTGTGCACTTGTGATCACTATGGTGAAATGGAAGATGTTTAGTATTTCCATGCATATCCATGTTCACCTGGGAAGCAAAGCGTGCCACACGTTGTTCATGTCTTACCACTGTTTGACTGGGTTGTACCACGCAATGTGCCAGATCGTCACGTGAATCAGCTTCTGACTTTGGTTTTTACATATTTGTTGGACCCACCTTTGTGACTCACCACCTTCGAAGGTGGAGCGAATGCTGACATCCCTAGCAATAACCAAAACAACGTGCCGATCGGGTGGTGCGGCGCTCCCTCCAATGATGTAAAACAGCATGGAATTCAAGGATCAGATCTGTTTTTTCGTTGGTGCATGCAGTATGTGGACAAGGTCTTTGTGCTGAAGACACGAAATACCAACTCCAACGGAAAACAACAAAGACGAAGCATTAGGTTCTTCGCATATATCATACCATACACTCCCGGCATATCAAATATAGCATGTCATTAATAACATACACAATAACAAAACAAAACCATTCCCACCACCCACCCCACCCCATCTTAAACACCAGACTAATCGATGACAAGTTTTATGACACCAATGACAAATTCCATGATGCCGATGACAAGTTCTATGATACCGATGACGAGTTCTAGGATACCCAGGACAAGTTCTTTGATACCCATGGCAAGTTAGTTGAAACCAAATAACAATGGTACCTATGGCCTATGACAGCATAACATAGCATAACCACCCACACTCCCTGCCCCCCAGACAAATGGCTCACGCAAAATCATAAAACCCTGCGTGCACCAGCAAAAAAAGCTCCAAACACCCAACTTCCATGGGGATTTAACATCTGTACTGCGCGCCAAACCATCTGATTGGACCCAATAACAAATTCATCCCACAACTCAATCAAATTATGACTTCCGCCAAACATTCAAATTAAAATGTACGTGATGGTCATTGATTCTATCAAGAGGTGCCACCCTGCTGGGCTGGAATGGATTTCAATGAAGGATAGGCCGGGAGGTGTTCGGGGAGGCAAATCTACAAGACCATCCCCTATCAAGGTTTCCTGCAACCTTATAGTGTAATTATATCTATCACCAAAACGGTCTAACGTAGGAAACCAAGTTCCTGTGCTTGTGGGTCTTGGGGAAACGACATTAGGTCGGTAGTTCATGCTGGACCTGGAATCCAATTGAATCAGTCTGGGAGCGAAACGACCCAGATTTGTTGATCCGAAACAGCTGTGGCCGCCAAACATCTCACAGAATCTTGGATTTTGCTTAATAAGGAGCCCAAAACAACATATTCCCGCAGAAGGAAATTTACCCATCACCTAAAGCAAAAGCTGGCCATTTTGGCAGAACAAGGCCGTTCTTTCAAATCCGCCAGCAACCTCGCCCAGCCTCTTCTACCAGTTGCACCGCCACGCAGGGAAGTGCTACTTCTTCCACAGACGCGGTGGCCACGCGGTTGCCGTGGCGACAGTCCATCCAGTCACGCTCACCGTAAATGAGCTCTATCCGGGGTACCTGGCGATGCCCAAGGCCAAACAGGATGGTACCGGGGACTTGGTGAAGAACGCTGCGCTCCATCTTCTG